TGCCAGTTATCTGCCTCCTGCAGAACAAGGATGTGTGTTGGACTACTGAACAAAGCAGCTTTCAAAGATGCAGATCTCTGAAATTTACAGGGTTAGAAATCCTGTCAATGTCCAGTTTTGCCAGCTCATGGTTCCTTTCACTAGAGCAGATGCTTTTGGTATGAAGTAGGTTTGTTTCCTATTGCCCTGTGGGGAAGATAGTGATTGGCAGCCCAACATGGCTAATTCAGGATTCTTTGTTTTCATACTGCACCTTTTTAGTAAAAATCTGTCCAGCAAGTTCAGTGAGAAAACTAATTTTCTTGAAATGGTGCAGTATGTCTGCATATCTGTATCTCATGGCTCAGCAGCACTTTCTGTTCAGACAAGGTGTTGTTTTGACAGGTCAGGACTAGCTGGTTAGTTGCAGTAGCAGCAGCATTGCTGTTCAGCACTCACATCAAGGCTGGAAGGATGTCAGGGGATTGTAAGATGAGGGGAATTAAGGGGAATTTAAAGGGGCTGTGCAAAGGAGACACTGAATCCTTTAAATGGTGTATTTTGTAGGCTATGGCTCTCTGGGGATGATGACAAGTGTGCTGATCTGCCCTGATGGCAAGACTGTTGAAGCAGAAGCTGCTCATGGCACAGTTACTCGTCACTACCGCATGCACCAGAAAGGCCAGGAAACCTCCACTAACCCCATTGGTGAGCTGCTTTTCACTGCCCTTCAGTGATCTCTACACATAAAAGAACAGGTTTGGAGTAAGAAGATTTGCATCTTTTCTGTAGAGAATTGCACCACTGAGTGTTGAAACCGGTAGTTCTTAATGCATTTTTCTTTCATGGAGACAGCTGCTGCCTGGAGCAAAAGCAGGCTGGAATGTACGGAGTGTGAGCAATAAGCTAGACCTAAGCTAGCCTTTGAGACATGATCTCGCTGTTCAGCAAATAATGGGTTTATAACTGCAACAGCCTTTGGGTTTAGGTTGGTTGTTCTTTATTTTAATCCCCTTCTTGATGCTCTGAAAGACCCATCCACCCCCGAAACCCTGTACATACTTGGTGTAAGTGCGCCTAGAATGGGATGCAAAGAAAAGAATTCTCTGCAATTGCATAGGGACCAAAGTGTAATATAATACCAGGAGGAAGTCACATCTTTCCATCATAAGAACAACTTCATGTGTAACCACAGAATCCTACCACTGCTTGTTCTTTCCAACTTGGACAGGAGCAAAGTAAGATCAAATAGCATGCACAAAGAGATAGCTTGAGACAATTCATAGTTTCTAGGGTTTGCTTTTCTTTAGAGCTGCACAAAATGCAAAGGATTTCTAGATGGAGATAGGTCTTCTCTTTCCCATTGCAGATTTTCTGTATTTTTCTGCCTACCTCAGTTTTATTAATTTGATAATATGTACTGTTATACATAACAGTTTATAACAAAGTCCAGGGAGTTCTAGAAGTTCAGAGTAATCTGGTGTTTTCTCTCAGCCTCCATCTTTGCATGGACAAGAGGACTAGCTCACAGAGCTAAGCTGGACAACAACAGTAGCCTCAAGAACTTTGCAGCTGCCCTGGAAGAAGTCTGCATTGAGACCATTGAATCTGGCTTCATGACAAAGGACCTTGCTGCCTGTATCAAAGGCCTACCTAAGTAAGTGTATGAAGCAATCGGCTGTGCTTGGAGGCGGCTGTTTTACTTGGCATTTGTGAACAGCATTTTCTGGAAAGTTATTTAAGTAGGGTGAAGGAGTCTGGTCACAGGACTCATCTCTATCCTGTGGTGTACAAATAGATCATGATGCCCTGCCCCAGCTAGTTTTGTCTAGGTTTCTATGACCCTGCTGTTGTACCACATGCATGGGGAAAAAAAATGAACTGTGAAGGCTTCACTTCTGACAGACTGGCTAAATTAGCCAGATCCTGCCCTGTCTTTTTATTAGGATAGAGATGTACCTCACTGCAAAATACTATCTGGCTACCTCTTCTCTGGAGCCCTTTGGCAAAAAATATCAGTCTGATAAGTAGGAGATAAATCTTTTGGTTTTGGAGACAAGACTTGGAGATGAACAGTCTTTCCTTGTGTTGAGCATTTGAACGGCTTTACAATTAATATGTTTTGTTTCCACCCTCAGTGTCACACGCTCTGACTACCTGAACACCTTTGAGTTCATGGACAAGCTTGCTGAAAACTTGAAGGGGAAGCTGGCCTCTATGCGCAAACTTTAAAGCACAGGTTCTGCTCGAGATCCACTAACAAAGTGTCTCCCACTTACACCAGAGTGTAAGTGGCACTGTATCACTCTGTAACATTTCAAATAATAGACAAAAATGAACATGTACTCTTTTCTAAATCTTTCAAAGACCATGTTTTCTTCAACCCCTTGAGCTGCAGGACTAGGCCTTACTTTTGCTAAGCAGCTGACTGTGATAGTATTTAAACTCGGTGTGGGTCTGGATTCCTTATGTCATTCATAGCAGACTTAAGGTTTCTCTCTGTGACTTCACAATCTGTTTCTTTTTTCTCTTTCTCTCAGACTGAAAGCCAGTCTGTGTCACAACTCTGGTCAAACCAGCAGTGACTTACTGTCCAACAGATTTTTAGACATCAGAACTGTCCTCATCTTTCCAGTACTGTCTATTGAGTAGAAGTGAGCTCACAGGGCTATGCCAACTCTACTGCAATCTCTTACTTATCTTTCTAGTGCCAACCAGATATCCTGATACTAAGGGATTTGGTCCTGTTGCTACAGTCAGGACTGTAGTATTTGAGAAGAAGCACTTAGTGAATGCTGGAAACAAACACTATAGGCTAAGAGCCTAACAAAGCCATGCTGCAGTATCTAAATGCAGGCCATGCATTTAGTTATACTCCCGACTGGATGTGAAGCATAGGAATGATTACCTCTTCCCCACCCCACAGTTCAAGGTGAAAAATTACTCTTTAGTTATCTAGGCTGTTACTTACCCGTCCTGTTGTGATACAGCAAGTCAGATTATGACTGTGAAAAACTATTCCATCTGTGGTTTTGGTTTGTTTTGTTGTTTCTTTTTTTAAATAATATTTTAGTTCAGACTAAAATAAAAGACAACTAACCTTCCTTGTGTCTCTCCTTCCTTTGTGATTAGCAGATATGGGGAAATTGTGGCTCAGAGAGACAGCATGTGCTGGGACAGAATGTGATATAAATTCAATTTGTCCTGGCCCATGGCAAGATGTGATCTGTAGTGTGGGGGTAAGCATTTTGGTCTAAGATAAACTGATACATCACCACCCCACAAAGATCAGAACGTGATTATACATGAGACAAATTTCGACCCAGCAGCTGGCTAGAAATGCAATGTTAAATTAGATCAACTAGATCATTTGCTTTGGGATGAGCACATTTGAAAAGCAGCTCTACAAGCACTAGCATCTGCCACTGTGCCTGCCATGTGAATTAACAGTAGTCTGCTGTTCTGTTACTAACCTAAGTGTGTAAGAAGTGCAGCTGAAGAAGTCCTGTTGCTGTCCCATAAGAAGCCTCTGGAGATCTATGTTCCTACTTAGCTTCTGACACAGTAGTTCAAATTACTGTGCCACAGGCACGTTGTACTACAACAGCATGTCTAAGCTTCCTTCTTATTAATTAGCTCCTATCCAGCTTCCTGAGTTAGAGTAGCAGAGAAGGCTTGCTACCTTTCAGTGAACTGAACAAATAAAGGGACATTTTTACATCTTACACTTTTTATTTGTTTTAATGACTTAAAAGTATAGCTGAAGTATAAACAATATAGTAGCATTTACCTGACTGTAGGATACACTACTTTTCTTCTGTAGTAACCAAGTTTCCATTTCCTGGAGGACTCTGCAGAGTACAGCAAGACCAAATCTATCCTCATGAACTAACGGATATTACTGGGAAAGGAAGAAGCAGCAGCAAGTGTGATTGTAAGACGTGTCCCTCTCTGCTTTGCCTTAAGAGAAAGGAAATCTTTTTCCCTGCTTCCAAGGAGACACATTCCCCTGTTCTACTACTATGATATCATCTTTTTCCCCACCACTCCCTTAAACATTTAATATCAATAATCTTCAAAGTTAGACATCAGCAGACCCTAAAAAAGCAAGTGCTGAAGGCCAGCAGGCACTCAATCTGCAACAGAAAAGAGTACATGATTTTCTGGTTCACAGTACACCAGCTGCTTTGGAGAGCTCTTGGGCAGGGCAGTTGTAGCTCCCACCACCAATAGAAGCCCTGTGTGCCAACACTCCCATCAGTGGACCCAGCCAAAGTTAACTTTGATCAAAGTATAGCCTAGCTTGCCTTTAGTGCTGACACTGATGTAACTAGAAGCATGCATCTGTGTCCTAGGCATGCTCAGGACTGGTGGAGGGATCCATTTTCAACTCCATAGTCATGCAAATCCCCACTGACAGCAAATACAGTGAGAGGCAATATATCAATATTACCTGATGTGGCTCCCTTCCAGAACAGTAGAGAGCTCTGACTTCTAGGGTTGTCCAAGGCTTCCCAGTGGACTGCTTTACCTGTACAGAATCCACCTTTTACATGAGGTAATGCTAGGCACTATGTCAGCATTCCTCTTCTGCTTGCTGTCCAAGCCTGGGCTGCTGCACTCCTTTCCTGCCCTTTCAGCAGCCCTCCGGGGTATCTGCAGTGCCAGGTCAGGCCTCCAAGGTGTACTCTCCCCAGCTTGTGAAGGGCCAGGAGAGAACTGGCAGAACCAGCTATCTGTCTGTGGTGCCAGAAGCACTTGTGGCAAAGACTTTATAGGCCAGCACCCCAGCATTTAAAGGTGGAGAGGAGGAGGGTGGGGAATAAATGTCACAAAGCTTTTATATTGTTCATATAGGAGACTTACTTTATATTCTAAAATAAATTTTAAAAAAAGCTGTGGAAAACATTAGAGATATTCTAGCAAAGGCACACAAGACCCTAGGAGGTTGGGTGCTGCCTGTTCAACCACTATTTTAATTCTGGCTTTATTTCTCTTCCCATTGTTATTAGCTGGTCTGCCTAGGCACTGGGAAATTCTTTAGGAAGCCATTCTTTTTCCTCTTTGATCTTACTGGTCATTTTCTTGGCTTTGAGAGTTCTTCTTGGTTTTTTTGGAGGGTCACAGAGGAACTTCATGTCTGTAAATGGGTCACCCTGCCTCAGTTTCCTGCAAAACAAAAAAAGGTTAGATTGAATCACCAAGGTATTTCTTTAATACATGTATGATTTCAGTCTCTAAAGTTCCTATCTTATTGAAACGGTTCCACCATAAGACAACTCAGTGGCACAGTTTGTTCCTTGTCCAGTACAAGAACAGCTGTACCAGTACAGAGTGCTTTTTGACACAGTATTACCAACTCCTCACAGAAAGTTCAAACTATGAAACTTTTCAGGAAAAAAACAACCAACATTCTATTACCCAGTAGCGTAACAACAAAGTCATCATTGTAGAAGTTAAATGGTTCTGTACAGTAGCCATTGGATGTACTGAATCTACAGTTTCTTAGGGGAAAGATGCAGCTACTTGTTTAGGTACTTCTACCTGCCAGAAAAAACCCCAAACAAATATAGATAAGAGCCTGCTACCCAGGGGGAGAACCCTCCTCAAAACCTAGCAGTTTATTCACTGAAACACAATTAAAAGGGAAGTATTATTCAGTTGCATACAACTTTAGATACCACAGAATCACAGCAAGTTAAATCGGGGCTTTCACTTAGTTGTCTTTATTTAGCCTCTATTTCATCCTCATGCTAATACCTCATTAGCACTGGAGTAACACAGATGCAGTTTAAGAGATGTGCTCATTTTGTTGAGGGAAAGAACAACTTTGTTAGCTTGTTACCAAAAGCCTGCACATGCATCTGTGCTAAAGCAGAATTTTGGCTTAGCTACACTGTGGTAGAAGACAAGGGTCATAGAACCACAAAGGGTAAGAGGAACTTAAAGACAAACCAAGTGACAGGGGGCCCAGCCCTGGAGAGTGAGCCCAAGAGCAGAGGGTTGCAGCACGGGAGCAGTCATGGGAAGGAATAGTGTAAAGCCCAACCTGTGGAGGCTTGGCTCTGTATAGCAGCCTGGCTGCAGTCTGCACCTGGAGGAGCGCACCGACACTTCTTCGGAGCTGGAGGAAGACAGATCCCTGGCATTGGTTACGTCCTGTAGTGGACTGGTCTCTGCAAAGGGAGACATTCACACATGAGTTTATAAAAGTGTTCCCAAATCATTTCCAGACATCCTAAGAAATGCTGCTGTCAATTAAAGAAGGACTGCATTACCAAGTTTCCCTGAACACTGCACAATCCCAAATCCAATGTTCCCTCTAAACTCAGGAGACCATTTTTGTCCTAAAAAACCCAAACTTGCTCCTCAAAAGTCAGCTCATGAATTAAACTGGGTTCCTCACTGAAAAAAATGCAGGTCACTATTATTGCTAGTATCATTGGACTGTGGTATAGTAGAAAAATGATACAAAAATGAGGAAAAAGCAAGGTTATGGCACCCAACCTACAAAATACATGGTAGTTATAACAGACCTTTTTCTCAACAGCTACAGGAAGGAAGAACCTCACAAAACAATTCTCTTTATAGAGTATCCAGTAACAGAAAGTTCCGAAAAAGGCTCAGTTGGTATTACCAGGCAAGGGACACAGCCTCCAAATCCTTAAAAACCAAAAAGACAAAAACCAAAAAAGCACACAACAAAGAGAACTCAGGTAGCTCTTGATGAATTTCCATTGAATATACCACCTAGAGGTATAAAGTTGGAAACCTTGCAGCACTAGCTGCTATTTTTGTAATATTCCGTGCCCCTATAACACTGACTCTAGTACGCCAGGGTGAGCATCAAATTATACCTTTCAACTGCTTAAGTATTTTCTAAATCGTCAGGTATGCCCTGTAGATAACAGCAGTGGTAAAACAGGACTTGATGCACATTCTAGTCTTTTCCCAATATCCACACATGAACAAGGGACAAGAAATTCTTACAGGAATACTGATAAACTAGAAGCAAATGCAGACACAGAAATGACTGGCCAGGACCACTGGAAGTATAAATGTTCTATTGGACACTGCTCTTTAACTCTGAAAAAAGAGAGGAGGGCATGAAAAACATAAGTACTCACTGCATGGATTTTTGGCACTCATCTCCAAATGCAGGTCCCCTCCCCAGCCTACCACCTACCAGATTTCTCTGAAGGTGAGCTCCGAGAAGATTTCTCAGACATTCTGTTGCCCTCAGTACGCAAGCCACCACTTCCAAGACTGTGCAGCTGTGTTGGATCCACCACGTATGTTCTTCTGAGACTTTGGGCTTCATCACTAGAGGGGGAATGTTGCTCTACACCACAGGTTTCATTCTTCCTGTCAGAAAGCCCCACACAAGCCTTCTGCCTCCTCTCAGAAGCTTCAGACTCTCTAGAACACGTTGCAGCTTTTGGCTGAAGAAGCTTCTTTGCATTTTGAGCACTCTCTTCAGGTTGAGGTATATCAGGAGTACTTTCTGCATTGTTTTTAACTGCTTTTGTTCTCTCTTTTCCTTTTCCAGCTTTTTTAATAGTTGCTTTCTTACCTGTTTTACAGTTACCTTTGCTTTTAATCTTTACAGGAACAAACTTAGGGACCTGGATATAGCTGGGGTCAGTTTCAACACCACACCCAGTTTCTTTAGCCTGTGGCTGATCACCTAAAATCTCTTTACCCAAAGAATTTCTATCAGGCGTAATAGTGGTTTGAGTAGGTGAAACCAGGGAGCTGGGAGATTCCAGCTGTGGCTGCATGTTGCTCTTGCTGAAGCTGCTGCTGTCCTTTGTGATACTCCATGGAGCTGCTTGAGTGGAACCGACATGTGGGAAGATACCCAAACTGGATGCAGTGCTTGTTGCCAACAGCGTGCAACGCTTTCTCCTCTGAATAACATGCCCTTGTGAGAGACGATCCAAATCGTGTTTTGTCATCTCATCACCATTGTCTGAAAGAGGATGACCTTCCCAGCCAAGCACTGGCAAACTGTTCCCATTTCGTTGGGTGGTACACAAGGCCTCTGTTGGAAAGACAAAATTTCTGCCTAAGACTGAGAAACGCAGCAGGCAAATCCCAGCTTTCCCCACACTGCCATAAATCCACATTACAGGAAGAGCATTCTTTTGTCTCTACAGGGACTCCCCAAGTTTACTGTGTGTTATGGTTTAAGTGGCCCTTGCACAACCTTGGACACCCGTAAGAGGAACTAGAGAGAGATTCTTTAGGACTCGGAAAGACCTGGGAGGGTCGGGAACAGCAAGCCAGGAACAATAGCCATTCAGACCCTGAGATAACTGTAATATCTGTGTCCATGAAAGAGTTATGGGATATAAAAAAGGATTATACTCATAGTGAGGGTGTGTCACTGATTTCATGGCTGTTGCAGTGTTATAGCCTGGGAGCTGATGGGATAAATCGGGAGAGCAGGGAGGGTTGGCAATTGGGATTGTTGAACAGAGATGCAGGCTCTGATATTATTGGTAGGAAAAACCATACACAAACTCTCTGGCACCACCTTTTATTGGCTGTGAAAAGCCAGCATTCCCATAAGGAGGATACTGAATGCTGCCCCAGTACGTGGAACACCATAGAAAGAGGTATTACATATCTGAGAGAGCTGGCAGTTCAGGAGATCATCTGTGGTAATGGGGACACACCTGAAAGCCCCACTGAGCTGCCATGCAGTAAACCTATGTTAAAGTAGCTCTCACAAGAGTGCTCCTCTCATGTATTCCACCATTTTGGAAGGAAGGGTCTTTGCAGGAAATGGTGAACCACCACCAACAGGCAATGAATTTGCTAACCAGCTAAGGCAATATGCAGACAGTATCTCTAACCCCTAAATATCCATGTCTCAGCTGTGGGGAAAACAGCTGAGGAGTTGAAAAACCTTTATGAGAAGCTGGGTGATGAGGTATTCAGGCTGGAGAGGGAGAAAAACCTGTTCCTCTCCATGTATCAGCCATTAGAAACAGCAGCCCTCCTAGAAGACCAGCTCGGGTTAGGCAGAACCAAACACAAGGGTCTTTGTGGTCTACTTTGCTTGACCATGGTGAGGACATGAGCAGATGGGACCACAAACCCACCACCGCTCTGCATGCAAGAGTATGGGAGCTGCAGGGTAGTGCCACTGGAGATAATGGTTCCAGAACGATGACTGCTCCAGTCTCCCAGGAAGTATCCACTAGCCCAAGCAGATGGGTCTCTGACCCAAATGAGAGACCACTATGCCACGCAAACCCGTGTTAAATGCGGATGCCACGCTTAATATTAGAGGGGTCCTGCCTCCAGCCAGGTGGAGGAGAGGGAATTTGCTGGACAGTGTGGATTCGATGGCCTGGCACAACAGAACAACAGAGTACAAAAGTACTCGCTGCATGGATTTTTGGCACTCATCTCCAAACGCAGGTCCCCTCCCCAGCCTACCACCTACCAGATTTCTCTGAAGGTGAGCTCCGAGAAGATTTCTCAGACATTCTGTTCCCCTCAGTACAAAAGCCACCACTTCCAAGACTGTGCAGCTGTGTTGGATCCACCACGTATGTTCTTCTGAGACTTTGGACTTCATCAGTAGAGTGGGAATGTTGCTCCACACCACAAGCTTCATTCTTCCTGTCAGAAAGCCCCACACAAGCCTTCTGGCTCATCTCAGAAATTTCAGACTCACCCAAAGATTCTCCATGAGGAGTAACACTCGTTTCAGTAGGTGAAACCTGGGAGCTGTGAGGTTGCAGCTGTGGAGTGCTTGTTGCCAACAGCGTGCAACGCTTTCTCCTCTGAGTAACATGTCCTTGTGAGAGACGATCCAAATAGTGTTTTGTCATCTCATCCCCATTGTCTGAAAGAGGATCAATTTCCCAGCCAAGTACTGGCAAACTGTCCCATTTCGTTGGGTGGTACACAAGGCCTCTGTTGGAAAGACAAAATTTCTTCCTAAGACTGAGAAATGCAGCAGGCAAATCCCAGCTTTCCCCACACCACAAAAAGCATCCCACCCCACACTGCCACAAATCCACACTACAGGAAGAGCATTCTTTTGTCTCTACAGGGACTCCCCAAGTTTACTGTGTAACAAAATTGCTCAGCTGTTCCCCTCAAAACAGAAAGGCAGCCCAAAGCAAGATCCCTTAACCAGGTCCAATATTTAGGAATGTTTATAATCCATATGAGAGTTGTTATTTATACAGCAAATCCACAAAAGATGTGCATCAGTCTAGACAGGAGAAGGCTGAGGGGGGACCTAATTTATGTCTGTAACTACTTAAGGACTGGGCATCAAGAAGGCAGGGATAAGCTCTTTTCACTTGGGCCCTGTGATAGGACAAGGGGCAATGGATTAAAACTCAAGCACAGGAAGTTCCACCTCAACATGAGGAAGAACTTCTTCACTGCGAGGGTTACAGAGCACTGAAACAGGCTCCCCAGAGTGGTTCCTTCTCTGGAGACTTTCAAGACCTGTCCAGATGCCTTTCTGAGTGATCTGCCCTAGTTTTTGCGTTTTTTTTATTTGAGTTTGTGTGGTTTTTTTGTGTTTGTTTTGTTTTGGGGTTTAGTGCCTATTACTCAGAAAGCCTGAGGAGTGATACTGAGCTATTGCAAATATACCCAATACCCCCACCAAGACATCCCATTCTTAGATGTATGTAATTTTAGAGATATCAGTGTCACTGAAGCATGTATTTCTTAACAGTCATTAGGGCCTGCTGGAGCGATGGTTAGGAGCTACCTGGAGATAAGGCACAGCACTCATTCGTTTCTGAACAGATATATGCAAAGTCATAACAGAACAACAGCAGAAGATAAAAATTTACCTCCAAAGATGCCAGAGCCCAGAAAAGCCTCTAGTGCATGCATTGACTCTGCTGGCTTTCTCCCCTTCTCTTCCTGGTAAGACTGAGGCATCTCAGCAGGCTGTGGTGGCAAAGTGTCTTTGGAGGCAACGGGCACCATTTCCATGGGCTCATCAGAAGCAGGTCTCTGAAGATCTAGTGAGAATGTCTGTACAGCTATAGAGCTCACACTTTGCTGTCCTGCATCACACAGCTTGGAAACAGGCACTCTCATTGGCATCCCTGCAGCCCTGATGAGAAAGAACAGCAGCACTGGGGCATGTTTCATACCTGTAACAGGCCTCAAAATCCAGCAGAACAGCTACAATTTTCACCTCCATCAAAAGTTGCCAAAAAATATTTCTGAAGGTTTCAGGCACTGAAGAAGACACACGGCTCAACCAGGACAGATTTCCCATGTACAAGCATAGCTCGTAAGGGAAGCACACCGCTGCAGACACTGAAGCAGGAGCAAAATACACTCAGACAACAAGGAAGTGAGGCCTTTCGGCGCACAGGTTGTGACAACAGGTTCACCTCTCTGTGGAACACCAACACAGCTGCTTGGAGGTATGAGCGTGGGCAGCTCCAAGGGCTCCCCTGTGTTCAAAGAAGAGACTAGACAGAGGAGAATCAGAACTTCAAATACATTTTACGACATCCTGCTCTGACCTTCTTTCCACAACAAAAGTTTACATCACACAGGCAGATGACTATTAAGCATTTATAGATAACAAACACCAAAGCGGCCAGCTATGGTACTCACTCACTTGAGGAAATCTGACAGTGCTTACCAGCTACAAAGGAAAAACTACCTAAAAGCAATGTGTTTTCAAACAACGGAGGGAGAAGGACCAGTTTATGCATAGACTTGGCATTAGGACAAACAAGACGAGGAGTGGCAGCAGAAAAAACACAGAGTAAAGGAAAACATCAAGCAGATGTTTAGAGATGGTTTAGAGAAGATATGTTGATAAACACTTCAACATTTTCCCCCTCCATCTCCAGCTCCTTGGGGGTATGATTAGCAATAATTCTCTGATCCTAGAAGAGAAACCTGAGTGAATTCATTGGAACACTCTGTCTTTGACAGTAGGATTCTTTCTGAGTTTCTTGAGGTGTGTTGTCATTTTCACCTTGAAGTGAATTTCACTTCTATCCTGCCCAATGACTTTGGGTTTAATGTATTCCCCTTCTTATCTCCAAAGTCCTCAGCTGAAGGTTTTCCTTCCTGGACAGACAGGACTTGGGCTGGTTGCAGCAGGCTGGGCCAGGCCACTGCAGGCACTTTGCTCCTTTCTCTGCCCATGAATCAGACAAGCGGGCACACACATAAAACGTAACAGAAAATTCAGCATATAGAAATTCAGGACAAGCTTGGTGATATCTGACATTTGAAGACCCACCTCACAAGCTGACCATCTGCAATACTGTCAGCCCAGCTATCTTCAGTTACACTGCTCTTCAACACAGAACTTGTTTGGAACTGAAAAGCAGAGAAAAAGAAGGGCGGTTTAAAAGTCTTTCAATCCCCTGTGCTGCCTTCTGCACAGAAACATCAGAAGCTCAGTCTCACCCTGGAAAGCATGTCAAATATGGCTGGCAACCTCCTTCCATTTAAAATTGCACAAACTATATAATAAATTGCAGCACAGTCTCCACAGGCTTAAGGATGAAGTTAAACTAGTTCAAATAATCTGAGAAGCAGGAATATTTTCCCAACCACCCATAACACAGGACATGTGAAAAGTGTTCTATTCCCAAGCTGCCATACCAACATATAAAAAAAGGAAATTGCAAAAGAAGTCAAACCCATTATAGCAGAAGACCCTACTGGCTAATACAGCCAATGACCTAGAGGAAGGCAGTTTAAAACCGTAGCCTTCCCTACAGAAGTTACCCTGCATTAACTCCAAGCTAAAAATGAGGGTGCAGCCAGCACAATTCAAGCAAGCAAAGAAAAGCAGTTGAAGCATCAAATAATGAAAAGTGAGCAGGCAACACAAAGGAACAGAGAGAGATAAACATAGCCCCCTTCCCAGAGCAGTGTGCTCACGTTCCCACGGTTTACCTCAGACAGCCGGGCCACCTTAACTGCAGCCATAAGGTTTTCAAGCTCTTTGAAGATGTTGTTCTATGTTGAGACAATAAAGAGAGAGAAAACCATAAAGACATTAAAACAAAATATCTGTTCCAACAAAGATGCTGTTAGCCAGAGCAAGGCATGTTCTGATGAAAACACAGTCTAAGTAAATGAATGGTGACATTTTTCATATGCAGAGAGTATTGACAATCAGCGACAGATCACTCCTCCCGAGGTTGAGATCCTAGTGCTGCCTACCTTGCCCACCACCCCTTCCCATGCCAGCCACACTGTTAATGCCATACCAGGAAGGAGAGCTTGTGTCGCAGCACAGCATTCTGGAAGTGGCACTGCTCCACCTCCTTCTGCAGAATGGCCTTCTCCTGGGTGAGCTGCTGTGCCTTGGCTTTCTCTGCATTGAGGGCCAGGGCCAGTGCTTTATTGTTGTGTTTTAAGGAGACTTTAAGTGTGGAAGAGTTGTCTGTAAGGAATATAGAAGTATTGCATAGAATCAGTATCCCAGGTCTCATCCATGTTTCTTCCCTCATTAAACTTCTTCTCTTTCCCAGAACACACTCCCTCAGGCTCATATCCCTGCAGCTAAATAGCCTACATACAGTCAGCAGTATAATTCCTTCCAGCAATAGTAATGTCCAGACAACAACAGAAACAACCTACAACACTTCAGTCACCTCCTTCATCCTCAGTGTCATGCTCAGTAAGCAAGCTACTGCTTCATTTCTTAATAATGATGGCAGGGTTTGGGTGCCAAGTTTAGAAATATGCACTCCTGACTTTGAACAAGTCCCCTGTAGCTCTGAGTCCTCATCTCCATCTGAAAAAAGGGAGAAAAACTGACTTTCCTCTTTAGTAGCCCTTGAGAAGATGTAGATCCATGTTTCACGATTTCAAAATAAAAAAATGAAATAACAGAAATATCCGACTTTAGCAAGGTAATCCAAACTATCTCATGCACTATTGTCATATTATTTTCCCCATAAAAACAAATCACAGTTGGGCTAGCTTCTGCATAGAATTGCATATATGCAATATACTTTCCACACCTCTTATTTTTGCTGTTTGGACCCCAAAGACTCAGTTACCCAGACACAGCTGTCTAATACCATCTGAGATGCTGCCAAGCAACCTGTGATGCCCTCAGCTACTGCTCCAAAGGTTCTGCATTAAACTTGCCAGACACGGATACTTGTCAGACACCTTTGGGCACTTCAAGTGGCACTTCACACTTACTTGCAGGGTACGAAATTCACTAGAAACCCACAGGCAGCTATTAAATATAAGCTCTGGGTAAGAGACTGCCACACCCCCACAACCAAAGGCACAGTTATAAGCTGACATAGCTGCTCGCCCCGGCACACAGTGTAAGGCAAAAACACTCACTAATGGCCTTGGTTTTGATTTTTGATGCAAGCGAGGCATTCAACTTCGCAGTCCTCAAGGCACCGTTTTTCTTCTCCCGCATGCGTTCTCTGACACCGCTCAGGCTGAAGAAGGAAGTTTCGGACGCCTCCCGAGACGCCATAGCTGAAGAAATCGGCAGGAGCAGAGTCAGGGCCCCTTCCCTTCCCTTCCCTTGGGCACGTCCCGCCCGGCCAGG